GGATAGATAGATAGAGAGAGAGAGAGGGATGGATAGATAGACAGACAGGCAGACAGACCGAGAGAGAGAGAGAGGGACGGATAGAGAGAGAGAGAGAGGGATAGATAGAGAGAGAGAGAGAGAGGGACGGATAGAGAGAGAGAGAGAGGGATAGATAGAGAGAGAGAGAGAGAGGGACGGATAGAGAGAGAGAGAGAGAGAGGGGAGGTGACGAACTGAAACCATGACAGATTCCAGCTGGTTCCTGAATCAGCTATGATCTAAACTGGTTTCAAGTCGAGGACAGTTCAAGTTTAATCACAGGACGGACTTCTGCAAAACATGTTCAGACAGGAGCTGCGTTCACATGGAGCTGTAGGTACACAGAGTGGTTATTAAGTTCCATTACAATAGATGGAGAGAGAGAGAGGGATGGATGGATGGAGAGAGAGGGATGGATGGATGGATGGATGGAGAGAGAGAGAGAGGGAGGGAKGGAGAGAGAGAGAGAGGGCTGGATGGATGGATGGATGGATGGATGGAGAGAGAGAGAGAGGGAGGGATGGATGTTCTTTATTGTGAACGTATCGTGTTCCAGTAACATATCAAGGACAAAGCACAGCTTCTGAAAGAAGCAGCAATAAAACAGTCATGGAGAATTAAAATATTTCAAACCAGAAGATAATAAACAGAAAATGAAATACAAACGATTCCTAAAGTAAACGATGAAGTACTAGAATACACACGAGGTACTAAAATATAATAGAACAAAGAATACTCTCAGCTGATGATGTAATGAAGCTGCAGATTCAGCTGATAACACAGTTTATATTCTTATTATTTTATATGATTATTATTTTATATGATTATTATATTGAGCTGCTTAATGTTTAACATCACTGCTGTGATACAGGAGACACCAACACACGAGTCACACTTTACCACTAAACAACCACTTATTAGTACTTTTCTACATTTCTACTGTTCATTAATGTTCATGTGTTGGACTGAGGGAGGAAACTATACAACACACACACACACACACACACACACACACACTGAGCTGCTTACTGTTTGTGAAACGACAGGTGGTTGCTTCACTTCTCTCGATGAACAAGATGTTGAGTCAACGGGACATTTGGGGGAAACACATCAACTTTCATCATCAACTTTCAACAACGGAAACTTTCCGTTCGTCCAGATCAGAAGTTTTACTTTTGTCTTTCACTGGCATCCATCGTGACGCTCGAACAATCTCGACAAACTTTCCTAAAACTGAAATATTGAATTCTATTTTTAGAAATTCTTCAAATCTCTTGTTAAAATACACTTTTACTCTTTGAAAACTTCTTCTGTTGTTGATACAGCGTTTGATAAAAGTCTCAGATCGCGTTTCCACTGACCTGCAACAGAACTTTCACAAGTACGAGACATGACCACATCACACAGGAAGTAGTACTTCACATTTATTATTCTTGATTTGAGCTAAATATTTGAATCCTGACGCTCTTGAGCAAAAAGAACAGAACGAGAATAAACTTAAATAAAACAATGTCGACTTAAATAATATTTAACTAAAATAATCCTGAGAAAAAAGTTCACACAAACTTCAGATTACTCTCCGGAGCTTGTCGGACATCCTGTCGTCCGATGAGAGAGGAGTGGCCAGAGTCAGGTCATCTTCTGAACGACGGAATAAACAACCTCATCACAGTTACCAGAGGGGGCGCTGTTGGCAGAGCGAGCGGTCGGGTTGAGAAAATTCACCTGAGTGTAGGTGAGTGAACCTGATCTGTCGTCAGCCTGGAAAAAGAAAACAGTGAGTGAGTGTGTGTGTGAGTGAGTGTGTGTGTGTGTGTGTGTGTGTGTGTGTGATTGTAATTAACAACCAGGTATCAAGCCACTGTGACGTCACCTGTTGGTTTGTGAGCTTTTTTTTTTTTTCAGTTTTTGTCCATCCTCGTTTTTTGAAACCAGAAGTAACCATATTTGGAGGAACAGGGGGCGGAGCCTGACTGAGAGCTCGAGGACACACCCACCTATACATTCTACCTGCACCCATTGGACGGTACCAGCCGTCAATCACACTGTGGTCTCCACATCAGCTGTTTGAAGAAAACTACCAGAGGAGACGTTTCTACAGAAACTACCAGAGGAGACGTTT